CCAAACCAGAAAAAGAAGGTAATTCTAGCCGCCTCCTCATAGTTTCTCCGTGGTGGTTCCTTCCTATTTCGTCACCGGATATCTCTGAAGAGCCTCTACTTCCTCTTCCCTCCCTTCCTCGTCGTCCATGGCTTCTGGACCGACGGTCTTCTCTGTTTTCGTTCATGTTTTGCATTCCCCTTAATACCTTAGCTAATCCTGCTTCGAGTCGTTGTATTCCTTCCTCCGTTCTTACCATTCTCTCTTCTAAAGCTTCGATTCGAGAGTCCATTGTTCTCGTCAACACCATTCAACGCTCCCAAGAAAGAGAGCTTTGATACCAATTGTAACAGACCAAGCAACAATTTCCAGAATAAAAATAAACTGAGACACTTTTGTATAAAATGCAGAAATTCAATGTATCAATTACAAGTAATTTTCCATGACATATCTCAAGTATAAACTCATTACAGAACTGAATAGACCAAAAAAGAAATACAGAAATTATGAATATAGATTCAAGGGAATTGGAGAGCCCCTGATCTCTCCCAAAGAACTAAATCTCAATTGTCCAAAGATTTTCCATCTTTCTTCGTGACTCCCTTTTACGTTCTCCTTCCAACCGTTTTGCTGACTCAGCCCAAGTTTGTTGCACCAGCTGCTGCAAGGGTAATTCTATCCTGTGTTGCAGCTGCACCATGTGTTGCCTCACTAAGAGAGACGTTCCTTATCCGCTGCCTATGATATGTCTTCAATAATGAAGGAGTTGTATCAGAATACCTGTCAGTTAATGTGGCACCACTCATGTGATAAATCGTATCAACAATTTAGCATGTAATGGGAAAGGACAGGCTTGATTTTGGGAGCATATCTTGAGCTTTTGTGGTGGCTTCACACCCTTGATGAATGCAGGATTCTGCAATTCTTTCTGTATTATACTGCTGAGTTTGTTTTATCCATAGGACAGAACCTTATAATAGATTGGGGCAATGTTCTATCAAGGGAAGAAAAATAATACTCCCATTCAGCCTGCCGAGACAAAGTTTTTACTACCTTAATCTGCACAGTTACTTTATATCGTGTCAGTAATGCACAAATGATTTTATCCCTTGCAGCTTTTGTCTATGCTCTGTACCTTTCAAACCCTCATAAATCTGTAAATTATGCGACCTGTTTTATGTCCCATGTTCCACTAGCACCAGCAAGAGCAAACTATAATTTTGGAGTTAATCTGGTTGATTATTTGATAATGCTATTGTAGGACTATCTGAGTTGTTTTATGCGTTACATTTTAATAGGATTATTAGGAACTTTGTAATTTTTTAATGAAAAATTCTCTGTTTAATATACGGTTAATAAGAAGGAAATATCCTATGTCCTTACAGATCATGTAGGAATGAGCTTTTTGTCCAGGAAGAGAGAGATTTTTCGCACATTATATGTTTCTAATAATTTGTTTTAATTTTTATGAACATTATTATCACAGTGGAATAATCTGAGTTGTGTTGTTAATGACTACATGAAAAACAGGCCGCAGGAAGTTATCATCTTCATTGTTGGCGGGACAACTTATGAGGAGGCACGTTCTGTTGCTCTACAAAATGCCAGCAATACTGGCATTCGGTTTCTACTTGGTGGCTCTTCTGTTCTTAATTCTAGAAGGTATGATTAAGTCATAAAGATAGTTGGATTCAAATAGTTGAAATTCCAATTGTGCTTTCAATTTGGCATGCTAACAATGATATTAATTTTTGAATTGAACTCACCCCTACCCGCGCAAAGTTGGAGAGTTTTGTGCATTGGGGGGGTTTGCTTTATAGTTTCAGTTTTGTCTTTTGTTAATTGCAAAACTTGAAAGTAATCGCAAGGCTTATTTATTTAGTTATTTTGAATGTTGCTTTAAGTGAGTTGTTGGTCTTGGTTTCGGTGATAAAGTTTGTTGGTCTTCAATTTGACTTACAGATTGATATAGCTTTGTTATTTGGTTGTTCGTTGATTGGTTCAGGGTACTTTAGTTAACTGCAAAAACATTCAACTTGCTCTGCACATGGTTGCATTCTGGATTTCTTACCATAGAGGTGTTTTTTAAATATGAATTTGCAGGTTTTTTAGGGACTTGGAAGAAGCTCAAAGGGTAGCTCGTTCTAGTACCAGTGTTGTTTGAAGTTTATCCTGGCAAATTTTGCATGTTGAGGGCCATGTAGATATAGTTTTAACAGCTTCAGGCTGGGAATTTCTGTTTTGCACCCATGTATATTCATAAAAAAAGTTGCAAAAGGAACTAGATGTGGGGTATCAGACTCAATCCATTGTTGCTGCAGAAGGCAATCATCAACCATTAATCAGGTTAGGTACTAGTTGGCTCCTGGCAGATGAATGCAATTCGAGATAAAATATGAGAACTTCAAGAGCAAACCACCCGACCCTCTTTGAATTCGTGGGGAAAAAAGTAGAGACGGAACATATAGGTACAGGAAAAGAAACCTTTTGATTTGTGAAAATTTTCGTCATCATTTTGGCTGACCAAGTCTAATGGTTTTGTTGACACTTACTAATGAAAGAACAATTTTGTATAATCATGTAACGAATGTCCCATTCTTTTGTATACTAACAGATGTATTCCATTTGTAGATTTACGCGACTTCATAATTTTTAAGTTCTGGTTGTGACACTGAGTTGTGTTATGTGATGCACTTGTTGATGGCATTTTGTGTCGGTTTTTCTGTTGGAGAATGTCATGTAAAGATCTGAGCACGTCTGGAATAGGCTATTTACGTTGTCTGAATTCATTTTCATGACAGAATGCTTTCTGGACGAGCTCTGTGGATTTTTGGCTGGAGGACCGGAAATTAGTCTTGTTCCATGCTTTCTTTTTGGTCAATACTGAATGTTTAATGAGAATTCACTCTGCCATATACTTGAAATGATTTTATAAATTTTTTTTTTTTACAAATTGTTCTTTATTTTAACCCTCCAAAAAAAAGTTCTAGTGTAACAACAATTGTACGCAGTTCATGAAAATTTTCGCAAATTACTATAAACTGCTGATTCAAGCTATCAATGTTATTTTGACTATTGCGTATATTTGTCGATAATAATATAGTAAATATCACTTGAGAAAAATATGATTTCTAAGGTTTACGTCGATAATACCACTAAATCTAATATGATTATTTCTCCTATTTTTCTATTTTTTTTAAAAACAAATTGTTGAATTATATTAAAGAGGTTCACACACACAGGTAATTTATGTATGAATTAAAATTATATTTATTGACTAAAAAGGTAATTAAATTTTATTTAAAATTTTTAGAATTTAATTTTTTTTTTTTAAAGACAACATTACTTATTTACTATATTTTACCCAAAATTATGTGAACCATGGCTAAAACAAATTTGGTCAATTTGTTGATGGGATTCAAATTTTATATTTAAGATTAGTTGATGGATTTGATCTCCCTTCTTCTTTTTTTCGGTAGATAGCCCTACGTGTTAATTATTAATCATTTTTTGTAAGGAAGATAAATTGACTCTGTCTATACTATCAGCTCCTTGTCTGCTAGATTTATCAAGACTTATATCATATGTGAGGAATCCCGGTCAAAATGTATCATTTCTTTATGTAAGACTAGTAGTTAGGGTCAGTTAGTTACATATTTATTAATTATAAGTGTACTTATAAATATATAAAATTTAATAGATATTAGTGTCTTTGGGAAAAAATTGAAAAATGTTGAAAATGTGTTATTTTCAAAATATACACAATAATATAAAATTTCTTAAATATTTTAAAATTTGCATTAATTGGATGAAAATGCCGGAAAACAAACGGTAGATACTTTCTTATCAAAATAAAAATAAAAATTAGGGATATAAATGGAAGTAATTATAAAGGAAGAAATAATATATTATTATTTTTATATTTGATGAAAGATATATAGACTAGTCGGTACACGTACATCCATAACACTTAAAATTATACTTGTAAAATTCGGTCCAATCCAGTCGGATCGACTCGGAACCCAACAAACCGATCATCGAATCATTTTGAATCAAGTATTGGATTGGTCATGCATCGATTTAGTAAAAACTCGATCAAAATCGGTGACCCGGTTATCCAATGACCTAATGACCTGGGTCGAGTCATGCATTAAAAAAAAACTAAAAAATCAAAATTCTTTCATCCTTTAAAAAAAATATATAACTCATTTTAAAAACTTTTTGTATTACAAAAAAAAAAAAAAAAAAACTTTTTGTAATTTTATTTTCTAGTATTACAATGACTTCAAATTTCAACTTCCAATACTTAAGCAATTTGCGAAATAATAAATTAAGAGAATGTGACATATGTCATTTTTATTGTAGTTGAATTTGAAAAATATGAATTCAATGTCATTGAGAGGTATATTTATAGAAATTCTGAGTTACAATTTAATTTGACATAGTAATAACATGCATTTTTATTTATTTATGTTTCATGTTTTTGAACTTATTTAAAAAACCTTGTTTAATTCATTTTAGATATGGAGAATATAATTAAATTTATAATTTTATATATTTATATATATTCAGATCAACCAATCCAATTAATAACTCACCAATCCGATCAGTGACCCAATAATTCAGTACCCCACCAGATCAATGCCGTCGTCGAGTTTAATAACACTTCTGAAAATATTTTCAAAACAAACGGTCTGCTCTCTTTCTCTTTCTGACTGTTTGGCAGAGGATTCGATAATGTGCTAATATTTCTTCATTCGTCATGCTTACACACTGACGTGGACAATCCAACTTTCCCATTTTAACAAGCAGTCACATATTTGAGGTCACTGCCCTCACACAAAACGCCAAATAAGATAACCTTGATCACAATCATTCCAATTGACGACTCCGATTGCAGCTGTGACCACAAGATCTTCTTGCCCCTGTCATCTTAGTCTCTTCCTCTTTTATTATATTTTTTCCCCTCGAATTAAAAAAAATATTAATTTCCCAATTTGTGTTTTTCCAACTACCAAAGCAAAATTCCGTTGTTTTGTATTCGATTTTCGCTCGCTCCTCTTTTTCTTGCTTTCTATTTTCCCGGAAAATATCCATCTCGATTTTGCCGGAAAAAGCACAAAATGTTGAGCGCAGGTTTGAACTCTCTCTTAAATTTTCCTTCCAAAGTTTCTCCCAGTCATTGCCATTGTTCCTGTTGTAGCGATTCTTGTTTTTGGCTCATTGCGTATTTCTTTTCCCCGTCTGCATATACTCGAGGTCTAGGGTTTTGGCCTTTTTCTTTTTTCCCTTTCCAACATTGACGGAATATAATGTTAAATTGAAAATCATGGAATAATTGCACCTTTGCCATTTCTGAATGCACCTTGATTTTTTTGTTTTTATCTTTTTGTTTGCATGAAAATTGATGGTTGTTTTTGAATGCCTTGTTGTCGGCTAAGAGAATTTTGTCCAAGAAATGTGATAATCTTCGAATTCATTAAAAGCTTCTTCTGAGTCTACCCTCCATTGATGAAGCATGCACTCGATCAACGCTTCATTGCTTATGTCATAAACCGCATTGCAATTATGTATGTAACAATTTAGAAGAAGGGGAGTGGAAATGGATTAAAATATGGTTGTAGCCATAGGAAAATAAGTATTGTCATCCTTTATTGCTAGTGAGAAGTAAGACTATTATTTCTGAATACTTTATTATTTGATATTTATCTTCTAGTACTCATAGCAGCTGTAAATGCCTAAGTTACTAACACTTTCAAGAAATGAGTGCACATGCTGTTTAACCGTTTCTATTGGACATTGGCTTTCTGTATGTTACTTTCAAATCTCTCTGTACCACTTCAGCTGCCAATGTCTCATGCCTAAATAACCAAAAATACAAAAGAAAGAATCATTTAATAGTACTATTTTAGACTTTTTATTTATTTATTTATCTCTCTTATTTACTTTTTCCCTTTTATTTATTTTTCTTTTCCCTCAACTGTTCTTTTTTTTTTATTTGGGTTTATTGACCGTAGATCCCAACTACATAGGGATAAAGATGCCGTTGACGTTGGCTTAAACACAATCTTGTAACTATCTTGGATTAGGAGATAAGTAAGAATATCATGACTAAATCTTGTAACTAAATAATTTATAAATTCAAGAGTATGCTATTTTGTCTCTCTTATCCTTACATTCTCTATGGCAAGATGGAACAAAAGTTGCGTGATGATGATGATGATGTGTCCAATCTATTATTTAGATCACCTTCCCTCAATATAAGCTTTCAATACAGTTAAGAATTAGCTTCCCAAAAGCTTAAGTTGTTAGGTAAGAGCATATAAATGATTTTATATTTAACACCCCCTCATGCAAGAACTTTCTTAAAGTGCGGGTAATGCATAGGTCCACGCCTAACTTGTGCTAAAATTCAAATTTTTTTATTTAAAAAAATGGGAGCCGAGAATTGAACTCTAGATCACTTGGTAATACAGGCTATGATACCACATTAAGAATCAGCTATACCCAAAGTTTAAGCTCTTAGGTAAAAACTCATGAATGAGTTTCTATCTAACAAATACAATATTGTTACCATTGGGCACTCTTGGTGGACCTACGTGTGCTATGTGAGCTTGTATCTAGCTAAAGGTAATTCATATGATGACCACTAGCTAATAGTTAGTGGCTTACTCGGTACTTTAGTTAATAAATAGTTGTTGACTTTATAGTTTTTGGGCTGTTTTACCAAAACAAAAAAGTTTTTTGGGCTGTTTTATGACAGCAATTTCTAGACATGATAAACCAGCTTTGAGTTATCTGATGTTGACTTTTTCTATTCCCCTCCCTATCAAAATGTGGCACTTTGTATATAGTTATTCTTATTTAGAGTTTTGTGAGTTATTGATATCTTTCTTGATGTGTAGAGGTTGAACGGTACTTTAAATTTTGGTTTTTCTGGTGCAAATGCACATATTGGAGCTTTTGAGTTTGTTATATTTTATGTCTCCGAGATTTATCAGTACTAAATCTTCTGTATTGTGGATATGCTTACTAGTTAAACTACCTGTACTTGCTTTGAAAGACTGAATTTGGATGTCTTTTTTTAATATTATTTGTGAGATAATCTGATTGTCAATGCAGGATAGCTGTCCTATCTCAATTTGGGTTTTCTTCATGTATCAAAAGCAAACATCCTTGTCTTCTGTTTACGGACTCTGTTAGTTCTACATGTTGCATGTTGAATTTGAAGAATTGCTTTTGTACCAGAAGGGTAGTTTTCATTGTGGGTGTCAAGATACTTCACATTGTCTGGAATATACTTCAAATCAAGGGAAGACCACTTGTTACAACTGATTCTAAGTTTCTGGTGAATGGGTTTGTTGGATATTGTATGTTCTTCGATATTTCTTTTTACACTTGTCGAGTCCACTAGCAGATCAGGGAATATGTGGCCAGTAATTGTTGGTGTGGAATCTACAGAAACTGTCAGCTGGACAGTTATCAGTTCAAGTATATTTGTGCTTGTTGCTGTTGTTCTCTCCATATGTCTAATACTCGAGCATTTAGCTTCCTATAATCAGCCTGAGGTTTCTCCTTATGCCTCTTTACTTTTAGGTGTTAGCATTTAGCATGTATCTAATATTCATAATCCTTATTCTCCTGCACCAATAGATTTACTATTTATGTAATGCTTAGCTTCCCTTCTCTTAGTTCTTCTAATAACAGCACCCTTTAACTGACTTGGCCATTTCTGTCCTGTAATATTTTTCCTTCCTTTTTATAATAGTTAATATTTCCTTCTTCTTTTTTCATTTATTCAGGAGCAGAAGTTTTTGATTGGTCTCATTTTAATGGTTCCTGTTTATGCAGTGGAATCGGTAAGAGATGCTAAGGAAATGGCAAAATACCATCTGTTCTCTTTGTATGGCATCTTTTACTTGGGTTTATTAAATTTGTCCTAATGAAGATCTCTGTTTGCTTTTTGTTGTATGGAATCTAAATAATTTCCCGCTTGTAACTCCTTTTATTTTGGCTAAACTTGTGTTGCTATCTCATTGGAGTACATTGGAACTTACTTATTAATGCATATTGTTTGGTTAGGTTTTCAGCTTCACTGCTGTTTACAGTTTACTATAGGACTAATTGTACATTTTGATTGTCAAAGAATTTATATGTCAGTGTCTTCCACAGTCAGACTAAAATGCTGCTCCTTTTACTTTTTCACGTGCAACTTTATGTTGGGATAATTGTTTTTTTATGAATTTTCCATTTTCTAATAGTTATCTTTACTATATCTAATTGATACTGAAAAGAAAGACTGCCTCCTTTTTATTTATAACATGCTCACAAATTTTATTCTTGTTGAACTGATAATATAATTTCAGAAAATCTTGGGTTTTATTTTCCAGAAAGGACCATTTGTAGTGAGTTGCGACAAACATTTGTATCAGTGTGCCTGCTTGGTGTACATGATCCAGCCTTGAAGTTCTTTTTTTATTCTTTTTAATATATTGTAACTTAATGGGGAGTGGTTTTTATTGTTTTAATAGTAAATTGTTAAGTTCTGACGTTTTTATGATGCAGTTTTTGTCACTATTGGATTCCAGTGCAGCATTTAACTGTGAAATCATCCGGGACTGCTATGAGGCTTTTGCATTATATTGCTTTGAAAGATACTTGATAGCTTGCTTAGGTATGTCAAACGGATTATATACCTATATGATTTACATTAGTTGTAGCTATTATTTGTGTGTATGTGAATATATATATATATATATATATATATATATATATATATATGGGATAGATTATTCTATCTATCTTTTTTTCATGCCTATTTTATCTACCATTCTCCAATACTGTTAGATCATAATCTTAAGAGGAGAGATAAATGATAAAGGTTAGTTGAGATTCTGATCTAACGGTGTTGAAGAGTGGTAGGTAAGGTAGGCATGAGGTAGGTAAAATAACCTATCCCTATATATATATAGGGAAAAACATTTCTCAAGCTGCTTGAGACAATATATATATATATATATATATATATATATATATATATATATATATATATATATATATTCCAGAAATGCATAGTGTAAGTATTAAGATCTTTTAAGATATTTTATTTCCTTTCCTTCTCAAATCTTGAGTCTATTTCAAAATCTGTGAGGCTTGAATTTCATACATCTTCTCAAATTTTGAATTATATTGGGTTTGTCATGCTCTTGAATACAAAAATTGTTTATGGTTCTATTAGGTGGTGAGGACAAAACAATTCAATTTATGGAAAGTATGAGCCTAACAGACTCCAGGACTCCTCTCCTGGAAGAATCATATGCGTATGGCGTTGTAGAGCATCCATTTCCCTTAAATTGCTTCCTAAGAGATTGGTATCTTGGCACTGACTTCTATCAATCTGTGAAAATTGGCATCGTGCAATATGTAAGTTGGATTTTGGATAATTGTGCTTTTGTTCCACCCTCTTTCTCTTTGGCATAGAAGAATCCATGTCTTTCTTGTTGCTGACTAAAACCTAAATTCCAGATGATGCTGAAAATGATCTGTGCATTGCTGGCAATGATCCTCCAATCTTTTGGGGTTTATGGAGAGGGGAAGTTTGAATGGAAATATGGGTAAGATTATATTAGCGTGTGCCTCTGGTAGTTTGCATGTGTATGTTGCATACCATAAATATATATAATCTTGATTCTCAACCACAAAGATTATTCTCGATCTTAGATATAATTCCATGTTTCTTTGCGAGTACCAATTGAAAAGATCTAGATTGATTATTATTTGTAATATTATTTCTACTTTCTATTTCCTATTTTTTGTTTTTAGGAAGGTCGTATTTGTTATGATCCTTGTTGTGGCCTGATACTTTTATGTGCTTGCAGGTATCCTTACTTGGCATGTATTCTTAATTTTAGTCAGTCATGGGCCCTATATTGCCTTTTACAGTTCTATTCTGTCACTAAAGATAAATTGGAGCCAATCAAACCATTGGCAAAGTTTCTAACTTTTAAGTCAATCATCTTCCTGACATGGTGGCAAGGTGTGGCTGTTGCAATTCTTTTTTCTATGGGAGCATTTAAAGGGTCACTGGCTCAGGAGCTAAGAACACGTATACAAGACTATATCATCTGTATAGAGGTATGCAATTCATGTTTTTTACAATTTTGATTGTCTAATACTGCATTATTAAATCATCTCAATTTTGAGGAGTACTAATATATTCTATCATCTGCATTTGAGTATGCTTTATGAACAAGTTTAAACTTTAATTGCCATGTATTATCTCTGCATGAAAACCTAAAATGTGACAGACTTTTGTCACAAAGATGGATATATGAGATTGGCGTTATTTTGTTTGCCTTTCTGCATAGCATATATGTTATATCAGGTGGATGGTTGCCTATCTTTATCATATATGAATGCATTTAAAGTTATAAACATGGCATGATTACTATTTAGTATTTACTCGTGCTTTTTTTAGTCAAAGTGGGATTTCAGCGGCTGAAAGTGTGAATGTCTACTAGGATCAGGCACATGTGTAGATGGAAGACTTGATCCAATAGGATTTTAGTAGTACATGAAATGATCATTTTGGGACCTATATATGAAGTATTAGGTTCTACTCTATTTTCTTGAGCCTTTTTTAAGACCAATGACTTCTTTGCTTTAACACAGAGACACGGACTCATTATTAAATCAGGTTAACTCAGGTCCCTTCTTATGTTACTTGATGCCCCCATTTAAGCTAAAATTTCTGAGTGTCATCAACTTGGAAAATGTTTTCAATCAATTCTTAAGTTCTGGGATGGCATTTTTTTTATATGATTGCCCATTTCAAAATTTGTTAACAGATGGGCGTTGCTGCTGTTGTGCATCTTTATGTCTTTCCTGCAGTACCTTACAAAAGGGGAGAGAGGTGTGTCCGCAATGTAGCGGTGATGGCTGACTATGCATCACTAGGGACACCTCCTGATCCTGCAGAAGTTCGAGACTGTGAGCGCTCAACTAGAATGCGGATGGGTCGAAATGATGAGAGAGAGAAGCGTATGAAATTTACCCATAATGTTCGTGATGTGGTTGTTGGAAGTGGTGAAATTGTGAGATGTGAACACTCAACTTTCAAACCTTTGAATTTTCTGTTATCTCTTTGTCAAACTCACGTGGGCTGTTTCTGCTGTCTTTATGTTTCAGATTGTTGATGACATGAAATTTACAGTTTCACATGTGGTAGAACCCGTTGAAAAGGGTATTGCGAAGATAAACAAAACCTTCCATCAGATATCAGAAAATGTGAAACGTCATGAGGAGGAGCGGAGGAGAAGCCCCAACAAGGTCAAGGATGATAATTACCTTGTTCCCCTGCGCTCATGGAGAACGGAATTTTCTGATGCTCATGATAAACTTGTGGAAGGAAGTGTCAGTGATAGTGATTTGCCCAGTGGAAAGAGACAACATCTCCAATCGAAAGCCTTAGCCTCCAGGATGAGAAGATAGTATTCAACAGCTCAACAACGTAAATAGTTCTGCACGTATAAGATAGGAAAAATCTTTTAGATTTTGACGTCAAATTTTACATTAGATATAATGTAGAAAAGTTTCACACACGAAGTTCAAATTGAACTCAAATACATGTCAAATCAAAACCAAAAAATGATAGGTGTAATTTCTCACAAATGCATTTGAGACTGAAGTAATTTGAATGATAGTTAAATGTAGAGCCACGAATTGGAAAGTGGCTAAGAAGTCAAGTGAATGACCGTAATTTAGTACAGATACATTAAAAGTGCCAGAGTTGGGCATTTCATCGTGGCAAAATTATACTGATCTTAAGCCACCAAAGTCTGATTACATTCTGGCTAGCGTTCCATGGTGGATTGCTAATGCTTTTATTTATACAAATCCCAAAATATTTCATCTTCTTTGTCGATGATTTGTGTGTATATAAAAATCAATACAGAATCACAATGCATTGATTATGTAGTAATTTAGTCTACACTTCTTTTTACAATTGGCGCTTATTTTGTAACACACCTACAATAAACCATTCTTCCTGTGTGCTTAACGCGAGGGAATGAATAGAAATATAATGAATAAAATTAAAAAAAATCGAAAATAGAGGGGTTAAAAAGTTTGTTTTCATTTGATAGTTATTGGTGGAACTGAAAAATGAATCAATAGAAAAAGAAAATTCTGGAATCTCTAATCCCCCCCTCCCTTTATTAAAATTTTGGAGAATTTAATTTTTGCTGGATCAGTCACTGGATCATATGAAGCTCTTTTTGGTGCACGAAAATATAAAGCTCTCAAATTTTACTTTATTTTTGAAAATAAAATTTACTTAAATGTTTCATGATTTATATATAGTTGCATTTATAAAAACATTTGCAACACGATAGAGCCTTGTATCACAATCAGTTTGAAACGATATGTAGCTCCTTTTGTACAAGAGAATATACAGGAAGCTTCTGAATAATTGGCAACTTCCCCTGCCTCGATGGCCTTTATTTACACTTCCATCTTTTCTTGCAAAAGAGGTATCTTCTTGTCCAAAGAATCTGAGCTTTCATCATAGCTTTTCTCTTCTTCATCTCCTCCTTTGATTAGTCCATACATTATTGTATAATACTCCATTCCAATTATAGTCGCTCCCATCACACTGCACAATGTTTTTTTTTTTTTTTGGCAAATAAAAAATATTATTTAGGAGATACAGACAAATCAAGTGAACCCGAATTCTTATGCATAATTACTTTAAAAACACGATATATAAAAATATTAATTTGTGGTCTAAAATCCAAGTACCTTCCATAATGAAGGCTGTTAGGAAAGAAGCAAACTCCAAAAGTGGTGGCAAAGGCAATACTAAAGGGCTTGAACAGTGGAACATATAATGGACCCTTCATGCGACTCAACCAAACTTGAACATTGGGACGAATCACACCCCCAAATAATGCCTATAGCATTGCATATTTCTGATCAGCATATGCATGTTTTGCCGTTATTTAATTATATATATCAGAAATGATATTCAAGTATATGTTGATACTTACAGTTAGAACAATGAGAATGAGCTCCATGTTATGCTTTAGATTCCAAGCATTTGCGTCCCTCTCTATTATCCACGATATTAATGCACTAAGGATTGTCCCAAGTAAGCTATAATAAGAAACAACCTTCATTGGTTGAGTATATTGCTTAGCAGTTTCCTTCTTTTTGTGTGAAAAGAAAAGGACAAACTTGAATCACCACAAAGATTCAAAAAGGAAAATTTAATATGAAAAAGGGCTCAAAGAAAAATAAAAATAAAAGTACCCAGATAAAGTTCCAAAGTGCAGTTGAGAAGGAAGCTGCAGCAAGCAAAATGCCACCAAGACCCCAAAATTCTGGTGTAGAGGAGAAGGCAAAAAGTTGCTTAGTGTGTTGAAGGTGGTGAGAAGAGGGTCTTCTAAGTGGGCCTTTGAACAATTCAGCTAACACTGCTCCCATTATTGATACCAAGATACCAATCACTTGGACTTGGATATCATAGCTTTTCAAATTTAACTGCGTCTTCCTTTAAAAAAACAGTATCAATTAAATTGATTCATTAGGTATATCTTATAATGAAAAATTGTGTACATGGAAAATGTAACATTCTTGGTCAAAATAAAGAGATATAAACAAGCAAATCACTGAAAGTTTTGGGGAACCTGAGAATGACAGAGAGCATGAAATTAAACGTTGGGATCAAGTGGCCCATGGCACATACTAGTATTGGTGAACTATAGCTTAGACCCAAGAATGAAAAGGTCTGAGTCTTGGTTATCCTACAAAACCCATCAATGAAATAGAAAGTTACAAATACGAATAGGGAGAGTGTAAGGCCTACTATATTTTAAGGACACAAATTTCATTCAATTACTCAAAGACCCTCAATAGGTAGAGCAAGAGAGAGTTTATATACACTGTAAAACCCAGGATCAAGAATCGCATGAACAAAGAGAAAGTAAGAGGTGGAAACTTCTTTCTGTGCAAAGAAGAAAATGATGAAAATCAGAACTAAAATAAATCCACCATGCAAACAACATCACGGTGGTAGCTAGCAACATCTAGTAGCCATTGACCAAGATACGACTAGAAGTGTCATTTCTGAAGGAGTCTCACGGACAGTATAACTACTGTTTTTTCGGACAATAAGTTAGTAGATAAACAATGTTAAAGTACGCTAATGTAATATATCAGGTAAACGCTTTTGAAAATGTTTTGGAAAAAGTTTATTCGTATTTTTACAAGACGTTTTATTAATTATTTAATAAAGTCTTCTGTGTAGCTAAATATTATGTATGTTAACAATCGGAGTACTACGAGGTGTTACAGTTTTTATCTCTCTCTTAAAAGAACTTAAGTTTGTGTCTTTTGTAAGGACACACATTTTACCTATAATAAAAACATAGTGAAAGATCCAATCACATAATAAAAACAATGTCAAAGGTCCAATCACACCCCTAGTTTAAAAGGATAAACTCTTTTTCCCATAATGGGGAAAGATTTATCCTTTCATAAATCTCAATTATGGTGCAATTAATGAATTCAAACTTTAAATTATTAAAATATGGGAAATTATTCTCTCATGTAATAGGAGAGAGTTATATTATGTTGTAGTTACATCAATAAGCGTGCATTTTTATTTATTTATTTATTTATTTTAACACATGGTGGGACCTACCATATGTTGGATCTATGACATGAGAGAAGTATCTCCTACAACATGAGATTAAATGCTCCCTTAAAATATATCTAAATAACTCTTAAAATATAGAAAGATACAAAATAATTATTTTTTATCTTTTTCGTAATGTTGGGTTACATGCATTTTAATAAATAGTTTTAAAAGTATATTAGATTATTCACTACAAGAAATTTGATTATTTGTGATAAAAATTGAGTGACGAATATATAATTTGTCACTAATATTATTTGCAACTAAATTTTATTTTGTTACTATTATTATTTTTAATTGTGACAAAATGATAAATTGTCACCATAATTTCATTAATAGTGACAAATATATATCTATCACAAATAATTCGTCACTAATATAAATTTTTAATCAATAAATTATTTTCACGCAATAAGATCATCACTGATATAAAATTTTAAATACGTAAAAAAAATAATAGTAACAAAATTTTAACTTCTGATTAATATTATATCATAATATTAACAACTATAAAACTTATCAATCATTATTTTGTTACTAGTGACAAATAATTCATCAATAATAATTTGAAGCATTTATGTCTAAAATTATTCACAAATATTTAATATCAATATTAGTGAAAAACTTATCACTACTATTATAAGAAAAGTGTTAGGGACAAATATTTGTGACGCTTTTTTTCGTCACAATAAATATTTCTTTTAGCGTCGTCTTGAAATATCGTCATTGATTTAATCATGATGTCAGTATTAGTGATGAATGTTGGCAAAGAAAAAAATTGTCACATAAATACCTTAGTGAAATTTTTTTATATCTTTTAATGATAATTTTTGTCATCACAAACAATGTATATTTTGTAGTGATTAAACAACTTTTAAAATTAAATTATTTTAGTTCATATGTCATATTAAATCATTAAAATAAGGGTAAATTAAATTTTTAACATACTTTACATCTCAATTAGTTAATTTGTTGACCATTCTCTTTAACCAAGAAGTATACAATATATATATATATATATATATATATATATATATATATATATATATATCATAACATGTTAAAAAGGTACCATATTATTACCATAAGAATCTTATTTACTATTACAACTCCACTTTACGTATCTTATGTCGATTAGAGACCTTTATACGCACGCCCTCCAAAAATTAAGATAGAATAAAATTAGGGGACTTGTTCACATGATTTCCAATCCCTTTGACATTGTCAAAATCACTATAACAAGTCGGGCTTTCATTGAAATTACTGACAGGAAAATGTGCAGAAGCAACTCCAACTGAGAATTGGAGCTCGTTGTCTTGGCGAGTGACTGACCTAATTTTTACCCATAGAAAAAGCACCTTCGTTTGAACTCCATCTAAGTTGGAGATCTTGTCCTCCGTGATGTCACCCGATATGGTGGACTTATACTTCAACTTGTGAGACTGAATTTTAAACGAGCAAGTATTATTTAGGTACACTTCGAATTTGCCGGTGGAGTTGTCCAATTTGTAGCCAACCGCGTCTTGGGGAAGAATCCCAATTGGAAAGTTGTATTGTTGAAGGACATCGTATGCAGTGGTGTTTTGGGAAGAGGTTGATGGCATTAAGAAAAAGATCAACAGAGAAACAACAAAGAGTGGTATTGGGGAGATGGATTTTGCTTGAAAATTGATATCCATGATTTTTGGTAAGCTGAAGCTCTTGTGTGTGCAAACCAAGATTGGAGGTGTTTATCCAAGACCAAGATTCCAAATTTTTAATTGAGCCTGCAGAGAGAAAAGTTAATGTAATAATTCTTTGGTTTTGATTTATTTAAAGGCTAAAAGTAACGTACTTATTGTTCAACATCCAACTTCTCATAAATCTCAATTATGATGTAATTAATAATTTTGAATTTTAAGCTAGGGGTGTGATTTGACCTTTGACCATGTTTTTATTATGAGAAAAGTGTATGTCCTTTTAAATGAAACAAACTTAGGTCATTTTAAGAAAGAGATAGGCACAAAGAGGTGTGGGTCCCATTGAAAAAAATAAATGTGTGGATCACACCTCTTTGTCTTTATCTCTCTCTTAAAAGGACCTAAGTTTGTGTCCTTTATAAGGACACACATTTTTCCCATAATAAAAACATAGTCAAAGATCCAATCACATAATAAAAATATTGTCAAAGGTCCAATCACACCCTAGTTTAAAAGGATACACTCTTTTTCCCATGATGGGAAAAGATTTATCCTTTCATAAATCTCAATTATGGTGCAATTAATGAATTCAAACTTTAAACTATTAAAATATACGTGAATAACTCTTAAAATATAGAAAGATACAAAATAATTATTTATTTTTCTTAAAAAAATTATCATTAATTTATGCAGTTAATTGTAGGATAAGCATTTCTAGAAGGATTGTAATTTGTAATGACATCTGGATTGGATATCAAAGGGATTGAAAATTGCATCCTAATACTATACAACCAAAAGTAGGTTCCATTATACCTTGATAGTTATGACATCATAAATATAATGAGAGAGAAAAAAGCAAGTTAATAATATAATATGATGACATGTGTTATATATATTGGAAGGAATCGAATTGCAGCGGTGGAAGTTTTAAAACATTTACATTCTTTATTGAGCGTTTATTTTACCTATCGTCTTTATTTTATGGATAATTCATTATATAAGTATAAAAAATAATTGAATGTTTTCAAAAAACAAAATATTAAGTCAAGAGACAAAATAAATATTTAAATTTTTTATATATTCAAATAGATTACAAAATCTTTTTTATATCACAAAAAAGAAAACAAAAGAAATATTTATAATAAATTTTTCTTTATTCCATTCGTAAATATGACAAAAAAATTCAATTAAGTATATTCATAATAAAAAACTGACAAGATAAACAATTATTTATTCTGTGACACAATTATGTTTTACTGTTGCGTTACCCTATCTTTGACATGTATAAAATGTGAGTTTTTGTAATAGGGTTCTAGCTCCGATCACATGTGTTATTATTTATTTGGCGGTGGAATTTAAGTTGGGACAATAAAAATTAGGGACCATGCACAAAAGCATTTTGTATTTTTAATGGTTGAACTTGTAACAAAATTACATTAATAGTTGAGATTGTTTGTTTACTTGCAACTTGTTGATTCTATTATGTTATCATTATTAATTTGAAAAAAGTCTTCTAAAATGTTATAAAATGTGTATAAAATTAGTCCGTACATAACTCTTATTACGTACATTTTAATCTATTAGAGTTGATTTTTCTATTGAAGATTCTTTATCATGGGCATGCATAAGTGTTGAAATTGTTGAAGCATGAAATTCCATCTACAATGTGTTCAGAAACGGACAATTGCAAGGTAAGCCAAGACCTTTTGTTGGCACCACCAGACCTTGGTAAAACATTAAGGTTAAAAAATAAATAAGAAAAAAAATTAAATTAGACCATTGTATCATCAATTTTACGTGTACAGTAAAAGTAAATCTATTTATTTTCTAAAAACTTTTTAAGTAGGGATCAAATAAACATTGAACATAGGTGACTAAGTAATATTACTAATTCAACATACAAATAAGTAATCCAAAAATACATGAATAAGTAATATATTTTTTTATGATTTTATTTATAATTCTAAATTTCTCATGATGCATTTTTATACATGTGACAATGTATGTATATATATCAACAAACTCAAATATACTTCAGCAATTTTGGGTGTTTGATCATTTGTCATGAAAAAAAAGGATTTTTCATACAAATACGTAATTCAAAAATACAAGAATAATAATGTCTTAATAATTCGTTTATTAAAAAACATAATTTTTTGATTTTTTTATAATTAAAAATTTCTCATGATGCATTTTTATCTATGTGACAATATATGTACACAAATCAACAAATTCAAATATACTTCAACAATTTCGGGTGTTTTTGATTATAGGGTTTTTGACCCTTTTGTCCCTGATTAAAATAACAGAAAAATATTTCTGCAATTAATACAGATAAGTTATCTGCATTTACTTCCAAAACAACGTCGTTTTGGGATTCAAAGATTAGAAAATTATAATTATAAAGATTATAATAACCCTGAAATAAATTAAAATTACAAAAACACCATGATTTCTGTCCCAAAACGACGTCGTATTGGGCTTATTACAGATAACTTATCTGCAGTAATTGTAGAAAAAGCGAACTCTTAACATAAATATTATCAATATTATAATAGCCCTAGCCTAATTAAATAGTAAATTGCATGTAATTAAGTAAATTAGCATGTATTAGTGGGTTGAAATAAGTAAAAGGCCTAATTAAATTAATTAGGGTCACTTTTGGGGTAAAAAGTGCAGTCAGTGAGAATTAAGGGGTATAAATGAGTGTAGGCAAAAGTACCCAAAATATAAAAGTAAAAGTAAAAATATTCCAAAAAAAATATTTCAGACCTTTGGGTAAAGTTTGAAAGAGAACATAGTTAAATAGATAGATGCGCTAATACCCGAATGAGATAACTTAACTTAAGTTAAGTGTAAAAACACAAACCCCCCCCCCCCCCCACCCACCTACTTCATTCCTTCTTCATCGTGGAAAAGAATGAGAGAGAGGGAGAGAGGGTTTGAAACCATGGGAGAAAAACTCCAAGATCCTAACTTTCTTGATTCTCAACCAAATCAACTCATTCCAAAGTCAAAACCACTTCAAATGTTCCCCTCTTCCTTGACCCTATATTAGTTTTGAGTGGGAACCATTGTGGAAGGAGATATTGCTTGTAAAAGGGGGCGAAAATTTGGATGGGTGGAGCTTGAGGTGGAGTCTTCCATTCTTGTGGCTTGGAGCTCATTCATTGGATCATTGGGGTTGTGTTTGTGGTAAGAACTCTAGCTCATTTGGTTATTTTGAGTTTGAGCCATAGTTAGGGTTTAGTTTATGAAAATGCATGAATATTAGGGTATGTTGGAGAGATATTGAGACTAAATTCCTTTGTTAAAGTGGTTAGGAATGATAATTAAACGGTGGAAACGAACTTAGATAGTCATTGGTTAATGTTCAATAAGTTGGAAAAAAATTCATGCTTGAAATATTGAGTTTCTTGCATTGTTGAGCCATAGCTTGGATTGGTTGATTGATGGTGTCCATGTTATTGCTAGGATTGAGGCAAGTGGACCACATTGAGTGATCAAGCATTGGTGGAATCCAAGGAGCTTGATTAGGCTAGTTGTTTGGTAAGTCATAAGCTTATTGATGAAGCATGGATTGCCTATGTTGTTGATGAATATAGAGATATTCATGGATGTATGTTGATTGATTTTACACTCTTTGAATAGGGTGTATTGATGATTGGAAGGAATTGCCAAGCGGGCATACCAAGGAAGGTTGGTGTGGATAAGTGAGCTAGAGAAAGCTTGCAAAGGGAGGGGAAGCATCTAGAGGTAAACCTTTGGATCTTGGAGGTTAATCTATCTTGTTGTTCCACCATTTCTTTTATGGAAGTAATGGTTAATGAATGAATGATTGAGTGGTAATTTTAGTATTATGGTATGTTTGCATTCATATAGTATTGTTGTGTCATTGGAGAAAGGGCCAATGGACAAGCACTAGGGGCTAGGTTGTATGCTTAGTGGAAAGGACTAAGATGCAACTGAAGCGTGTGTGATGATTTGATTGTTTAATTCTGTGGCCATTTGAATGCATGAGTATGTTGTAATTAAATCATTACTGTTATTGTCTCTGGATATATGATGTAGTACATGCCATGTGGATACTAACCCTTCATGCAGGAAGTGAACTCTGGGGTTGGAGGAGCTCTCCAAGAACCCTGGGTTTATTGAGTTTTATCTCACCCCGTTTGGGGAATGCTATTTCAGGTACTAGCATGGATTATGCGGGACGAGGTAAAAGGCCTGAGTAGATGACACATGATAGCATGTCATTTTGGGGATTGTATATCATCTAGGATTGTTAGATGTATATGTCATTTCCCTCAACATATGTTTGTATATTTGAGGTCACATTATGTATTTTGGGGGACTTAGTGCATGATCATGGTGTTGGGAAATGCCTTGTGGTATTGGGTAAATAGCTTTGATCATGTTCCTTTTGTAGCTAGGTCCCTTGGCATGTATATGAGATTTGTAAGAACAACGATGTAATTGAGACCTTGATGGATTGATAAATATGTAGTATGTTATCATGTTGATTTGTATGATAGATTTAGACCCTTGTGTCTTAATGAAAGTTATAGATCTTCTTCTTAGCTTTCCAACGAGACAAAGATTGCATAAATAGGAGTAGTATAACGAAAGTTATGGATGAAATACAAAAGGAGGTCAAATTGCCCTGTTTTGGTGCTTGCTCCAGAACTGCGGCGCTATTATCGTCAAGTTCACTCTAGGAGCGCCAACCATCAGTAGGTTTGACGCTATGAGCGTGAGACTCACGCTATGAGCGTTAACCTCTCTGACTTCTCACGCTATGAGCGTGGGGGTCCTGGGGATTTCAGCATCCATTTTCTTAGAAATTTCATAACTTGAGCTACGGTGCTCTGATTTGAGCGCGGTTTGAACCCACGCGTAGCTAATGAAAAATCCTATAACATATTGGAAAATTGGGGACCATAAAATTAGTATAGAAATTTCTTAAATAAGTAAAGAGTATAGATGTTTAGTGTTCAAGAACAATAAAAGTAAGTTTTAAGCTTTTGTGGTCTAAATAAGACTCCCAACAGGAAGTCTACCTATAATTTAAGTTATAATCACATTACGGGGATTATTTTAACTACGGAACGGATTTTAAACAAAAGCGTTTATAAATAAAAAGGAAAAAGTTTATCCGTGTTTTAATTCAATCTTGTGATTGTAACTGCGCTTAATGCCGTATGTAATGATAAAAAATCGGTTCTAGAACGGGGTGTTACAAATATGTCCCAGTTTTATACTAGTTAAAAAATTTGACCTTTTACTACAACTTAACACCAATATGCCCATATTTGACCACACGTGAAGAAGGAAAGAGAATGAAAGAGACCTGTCCTCGTGGTGTAAAAAAAAGGAACAACGAAACAGTATTATAGTGGCCAGAGCATTGGTATAAACAATGAGCACAAATGGGCTCATTCCGTTAGTTATTGCAGTTTTTGCAAAAATGGTGAGTCCTACCTATGGTGCAGCCTTCTATAATCACCATGACTATGAAAGGCAGCACTTCAGACATCTTATTATTCTTTTTTTTTTTTTGAATACGACATCTTATTATTCTTAACCTATTGAATTTTCCTTCTTTTGCTCTCATTTAGAAAGTGCTAATATGTTAGTGGTGGTATAAATAGCAGTCTCTTCCTTATTATATATGTATATATAGCTACAGAGACACTTTGAGTATCTGATATGTGTGTGTCCAAAGTTGGAGCTTCCACACGCACTAAGAAATACAATTAGACCCTCTCTGTATTGAGCTTGAATTGAAAAGCTTGTTTATGCTCCAAATATAAGAACCAAATGGGAATGGAAGTGAAGTGGGGGCCATGCATGTGGATAACCCTTCACGGGATGGGGAAGCTACTTAGGAGGAGAAGTAGCAACTCGGGTGTCCCAAATTCTTAAACAATGGACTAAAGATGACGTCTTAGATAGTTTTAAATTTTTTATTTTTATTTTTTTTTGCTTTTTTTGGTTAGTTCTTGTGAACATGTTCTTTATTTATTTGTTCACTTTTCTTTTTGGTCTTAATTTGGCATCTTTTTTACTTAACCATTAGAGGGGGAGAAAATTTGTATATATGTGCTATTGTTGGTTACAGTTTGGCTTATTATGCAGTCTTATAAAGTTAATTAATCATAGAATAATATATGAATAATTCTGAGCCAATAAGTGCAAGCTTTCTAGTAAGTTTGCGCATGCATTAGTGGCAGACATTTTTTGTGGCCCTACCATTAGAGGAATTTTTTAGTGTTACTGATATAACCTACCCATTTGCGTGTAGTTAAGCATGACTTCATTAGAATCTGAAGAAAATGTTTTCCTATAGATTTTTTTTTATTTTTATATTTTTTTTAGTGAATGTTCCCAGTTTTGTCAAAATCGAGATGGATCAATTTCAACCTGGTTGTTGTGCTCATTCAATTGTCAATTCGGTGGGCTTATTATCCAAGCCCAATAAGTAATCAGGTTGACAGAGTCAATAGAATGTTCAAGGAAACTAGCAAATTGAGCCCATTGCATAGTTGATGTTGGTCCTTCGAATTTTGAAAGGCTGTTAACAGGAGAGCACTGGTTTTATTTATTTTTATTTTTCTAATTCTTAGATTTAAAAAAATTGAAGACAGAAATTTTAGTCTCAACTCTCAAGTATCAGAGCAACTCACAAACTTTTTTTATATACATTAATATGGACAATGTGCTAGCAATAATGTTTTGAACTTTTTTTTAAAAAAAAATTTGGTCAACAGGTATAAAATTAGGTTAACTGGGGCAATTGAGTGAGAGTTTAAATAAAGAAAAAGCATCCTATTGCATAGCTACTAACAAAAAGAACCATAAAAATATTTATATAATTAATTTCGACATTGTGCTAGCACCAAAGTTTTGAACTTTTTTATTTAAAAAAAAAAAGTAAAATTGGTCGATGGATATAAATTGGGGTTAAGTGGGGCAACTGAGTGAGAGTTTAAATAATGAAAAAGCATCCTATTGCATAGCTACTAACAAGAAGAACCACATAAATATTTATACCATTCGATTCCATGAGAGTGGACATTTACATAATGTTTTTCTAAAAAAAATGGCTTTGTGATAAAATTAGAGCATCTAATAATGTGTCTATGCACTCAATGGTTATAGCTCAGTTGGTAACACAAGTTGAGTAGGCGGAGAAAAAATTTAGATTCGACTCCCATAAAATATATTTTTGGGGAGGAACGACTCGGTATGGTCTATGCTATTAAATTAATATTTTTTTTTATGTATATACAATAGTGACACTGAGATTCAAACCTATGACTCCTAAATCCCTCATCGCTAAATTAATCCTATTGACTTTTAAACTTTTATAATGCACTTATAAGCTTTTATCTTGATATAAACAAACCACATCAACCTACTTCAATGGAGTTAGTAGATTGGACTTATAGTATTACTATGATTACTATCTGATTTCCACTTCAATTAAAAAAAAATAGTTACTTTTCTTTGCCTCCTCATTATTGCAAGTTAGAACTCATAATCAAACGACCTCGGAAAATTTTTAAATCAATAATTGGTAAGTTTCTTTCGCTTGAAGTAGAAAAAGGAAAAATAGAAAATATCACTTCGACTTTTGTTAAAAAAAAATGGGGGAGAATGATGGAAAAGGTCCGCAATCCGCATGCTTATAAAACAAAACGTTTTAGTTCGCGTGTCCAATTAATTAAATAATTAAGTATTGATTAATCGTTGGCTATATCAGTTTAATAAATGATTAATCAAAATCAAAGTGTCCGACTTTATAAGCACACCTACCTTTCTGGTCATTCTCCTAAAAAATAGTTTTTGTTTGCTTCAAAGCAAAGTAATTTGAACGCAAATTCTGAAACTAGTTAGCGTATAACTTTTTCTCTCTCTCCTTTTTGTGCTAGTAGATAATTGGAACTATCACAATCTGCATACCTAAGCAAGCACTCGTTCTTCAATATCCATTGACCAATGTCAAGATAAAATGATCTACCAGAGGAGTTTACTTTCTTATCATAAAGAAAATGAGAGGAGTCATTGAACTGTTTTGTAAAATGGGTGTGCCAATGCTTATGAGTTATGAATATCAACATGGTCAATAAGCACTGAGCAAAACTAGACAATTATGATTAACAATTTATCACAATTTTCTTCAATGTTTAGTGTATTCACATCTCTGATCGTGTTGCATCTCTTGTGCAAGTCCCTAGCTATAAGTACAAGGAAATTTCTTGCATAGAACTCTCCATTGGAGATATGAGAGAAACGTTCAGAGTGGCCTAATTAAGAGGAAAGAAAACTTGGTCCTCCTTTCTGGACCATAGACAAGGGTGGTCTGCTTCAACAATGGGAAATGATTGTTCCACAAACTTGTATATTACAACAATTGTTCTTCTTCCAGATTTGGTACGAAAATATGTTACAACTCACATGCCATCTTTCTCTGGCAACAATTGTAGCATCCTTTTAAATGAACTTATATGCCTTTATATCTCTTCACTGCTGTTTTCCTTCAAAAGAGGGGTCTGTTTTCTCCTTGATTCCGAGCTTCCCATTCCAACATCTTCAATATCTTTGGCTTTCCCCCACAATACTGAATAAAACCCAACAACAATCACAATAGCACCAACCAGGCTGCATTGAGAGACAACAATGAGTTTCTGTTGGATGAAATAAACTCAACAGTACAACAAAACACAATCTAGAAGAGAGACACACAACCTACCTTCCAAAATAGAACGCATCCCCGAGGAAGATAACACCTACGACCGCCGAAATGACAATTCCTAAGGGCTTGAACATGGAAACAAAAACAGGTCCTGTCTGGTGCAAACACCAAGAAGTAACACCAACTTGAAATGCAGATCCAAAGACTCCCTGTAAATGTTTACAGCTTATGTTTTAGACATCTAGGCAAAGATATAATGCAGTAGTTACTGGTTGTACTTTAATCTACTTAATGTACATTTTGATTACCGAGTATAAAACTGCAAGCAACCTTAACTTAGGTTCCAAGCTCCAAGCACTGATGTCTCTTTCCACAACCAAACAGGTCACAGCAGATTGAATGGCCACAAAGAAACAATAAAAGAATACAACAATCAACTCTGCTGGATATTTCTTAAGAATGGAAGCCTGAAATATTGCCAATTATAATTAACCACTATAGTATTTACACCATGCAAGTAGAAATCACAGATCGTGAAAAGCTCTATTACTACTTGACAATTTCACCTGTACAATAATAAATGCTGAAGCCGTCACACAAGAAGCTGCAAGAAATAATCCTCCCAGTACCCAATTAGAATCTTGTGAGAAAACTAGCTGCTGAAATGAGTTTAGAGGTGATAGTCCCATCAGAAGTGTAGGGCCCTTGTACAAAGTCACAACAAATGCACCAGCAATCGATACTATTGTTCCCAATGATTTAGCTAGGCTGCTAGAGCTTCTCCAATTTAATTGTTCCATTCTGCAACCAGAAAGAGAAATAAGTTTAGACCAATCTACATCAGGGAACAATTGATTGAAAGAACAACTATTACTTTTGCTCTATAATGAACTAAAGTGCATATTTGGTGAGTCTTTTATATTAAAAAAGATACACACACACAAAAACAATACGAAAGCCCTCAAAACCCAGAGTTACTTTTATCTTAAAGAATGGCAAAAGATTTACCAATTCATCATGTGATCAAGAAATATGTTTAGATAAGTGCAGAATCACAATGTAATTGTGTTTCCATCAGGGGTCTGAATTCCAAAATGGAATATTTTTCATTATCAAGACAAAACATGATTAATTGTCATTCTTTAGTCGGAGTCAGTTTTATGAAAATAGAGAAACAAAATCTCATAGACATGAATCTGCAGTATAACTATTTCACTGATTGACAAACATTTAAGATTAATTTTAACCTCAAGAAATTTTATTAATGCCAACAATTAGCGCAATGTGTGTACATTTATCTTTCATTTACAACATAAGATATGTATCAACTTTATTTTATGGATACAATTTTAGATAATTAAGTAATACAAGAATTATGACTTTAAGTGCTAATAGCTCCTCACAATTTGATGTTTGGCCTCACCAAAGCAGTATATGAGAGAGTTTAGGTCAAAGCAATTTAATGTTGTAATGGGCTCAATAGAGCTCTTGTCTTGAGAATACCACTGTTCATTCAGATCAATTCTCTTCAAAGTGAAACAAGATAATTTAATTCGACTTCATTGCAAACCCAAATAAGCAAATGATGGAGACTTGTAGATGTTATATGCCAGTTAACTCTTACAAATTACATATGGGCTTGCAGTGTACGCATCAACGGAGAGACAAAACTAAAGGATAAAGACTTTAAAAGTTCATCCTATAAAAATGGCATGACTATATCATTTGATTCAATGGAGTTATAAAAGGAAATAAGTAAAGAAACAGATGGAGAAATATTAGTGACATAAAGAACTACTGCGCAACTATCACTCAAGATAGATTGTAATTTAACATGAACCATTAATTTCATCTGTAAATCCAACAAAATACTTCTTCCATCTCCATGAGGTGGTAATGCCATCAATCCTTTATAAGGGGTAAAAAAGTAGTGATAACCTCACAATGTCTTGAATGCACAACAGAAGAAAAGCCACCACAAGGCATGGAGTTACAATTCATTATTCATTAACAAAACAATATTTATTAATCACAAGAATACATAAGTGTTAGAGCAAAACTAGAAGGTTCCATAAGCTTAAATTTCCTCTTTATTCACCCCTAATAGGATGTTGGCCACTAACCAGGGTGCTCAGTAAGAGAGTTCCAGGTCAACTGAAGGGAACAGAAATTTCTCAAAATACAAACTACAAGTCAATCTCAGAGATATCAGACTGCCAATACTTAGTTTCATGTAAATAATCCTTTTTATATCAGAGAACTGTAGAAGGAAAAGTCCACACTGATAATTTTTCTATATGTTGTGCCTAATATTAACAAGTAATAAGAAACTTAATGGTCGCGACTGAAGTTACACTTACACAGAAGAACCAAAATGGAATCACCAGCCTACTCCTGAAGCTAACCACTTAAAGATAGTCCAATTGATGGTTTTATGCTATTCTAGTCATGTTGGGTTTCATATTCAAATAGGCAAATAGCTTTACCAAATGAACTGTAAAACTTAAATATGATATATTATGGTAATCTGAATCCAAAGAATGGGTGTAAGTATAATAAAAAAAAATTACTCATTTAAGAAACATGCACGATAATGCAATTGTATACAAACAAATTAAGACTCATAAATTCACTAGCTATTTTCAATAGATAGCTAAACCTAATATCTACAGAATGAATGTTTTGATCGAAACTCCATGGTCCGATTCAGTTCACCTACACTCAGCAATTAGAGGGAACATAATCTTTACATTGTTGTAATATGCCAAGCAAGGCAATCGGCAGCCCTGATATTACATTGAACTTGACAATGTCCCATACATGACATACATCCTGCTAGTGCTTTCTCATATCACAATTAATGGCAGCATATTTTCGAACTGACCAGAACAGTATAAAACAACATGCAAGAAACAAACTAAAAAAATATATTAAGTACTTCATCCATTTCAAAATATCAGTCTATCAAGGTTTTTGCATAAGAATTAAGAAAGCCATCACATACTCTCAATTTTAAAAGAAACTTAACTAAATTAACCTCCCATTCCATGAATGCTCTGTCTCATTTTACTCAGTGGATATACCAAGAGATAAGGATAAAATTAGAGAAAAAATAAATAAATAATATCTTATTGTTTTTCTAAAGTGACAGTTAAAGTGAAACAAAAATTTCTCTCTAAAAGGACATATATTTTGAAAGGGGGAATATGAAGTTATAGTTAATGCTGACCATAGATAATTGATAAGGTTATGCCATTAGCAACAAGTAGGATTTAGGAACAACCTAAAAACAACGGCAAGTATGAAGGTAAAACCAGGAATAAGGTTGAGCATGGCTGTGCTAAGTGTAGCTGAGCTGAAGTAAATCCCAGCATATCCAAAAACCTGCGTCAAATAACTGAAAATAAACATTTTTTAGAATTTAAAAGGAAAAAAAAAAAAAAAACAGAATCATGGTATTATAATTCACAATTTAATGTGGTCGGAGAGATGTCCACGATTTAGAATTTGCACATGTGTAATATGGAATATAAGGAAGAATGAACTTGCCCGAGAAGTCCAAGTAAGAAGAATCCACAAAGGGTGGAAAACATGATTGGAGGACGTTGTTGAGACGTATGAATTAGGAAGGAACAAGGAAGAAGAACAAGGGCAGCGATTGTGTTGGAATAGAAGATGAAGATGAAACTTGTCATCCCTTGTGACATCACTTGTTTGCTCAATATGATTAACCCAACTTGAGCACACTCTGCTATTATCATTCCCACAAACGGAAATGTCACCTTCCCCATTTTTCACATGCACTCACTATGTATGTGCTTCCCTTGACCCTTCACTTCAGAGTTTTGATGCCCAGTGGAACTCTGGAACTTTATGTCTTCAATCTTCGAGTTTGAGGTTCTAACTCCAAAAGTCAACACACCGCACGCTTAGCCGCGGGGCAATAATCAACTCTTAAATTGGAATATATTTTATCTTTGGGAAAGGTTAACATTTGCTTCAGAATCACTTAGATTCATGTCGATTTTTTTTTATCACATGTGCTCACGTGGTTGGTTTGCAAAAGGGTATGTTTTTTATCACATATGCCTATGCGGTTTTTTTATTTTTTACAAAGCACAAAGACATATGTGATAGAAAAAAACCACAGAAATATCGGTAATTCTGAAACAAACCAGAGGGACATCGATGAATTATTTCCTTTATTTTATACATAGAATCTTTCAATATAACTTTTTATAATTGTTACTAATATTATTGAATTAAAATTAAATCAACCATAATTAAAAGAAGAAAAAAAATCGTAAACCTTAATTATAACCTACCTCTTTATTTTATGGTAATACTTTTTCAAATTGAATTATTATTCTCTTGAAATTAAATATAGAAGTTTAAATCAAAGTTTAAGAATTTTTATTTTTTTTAAATTAAAAATTAATAGATTTACATATTTATTTCGTCTAAAATAATTTACAACTTATTTAATCGATGTTCATGTTGTAATGAATTGATGGATTGGATTCTTTATCTGGTGTATTCATAATTTCCATTATAAGGGAAGTATGTTTCTCATATATTTTATCTCATCTAACATATAAAAAATGGATGAAATTATTTTTTTCTTTCTTTCTTTTTAACGGGTCTTATTCACTTTTTTGTGTGTTGCATCAAATTGTGTGCATTGCATAATATCTTCCACTAATGAGTGATTCTCTGGCAAAAAAATTAATTAATTGCAATTTAAATAAAACATTATGAATTTATTGCTGTTTTGAAACTATTTACGCGTGTATTGCAGTGTGTCATGCCCGGATTGGGCGTCACCAGTCACGCCTCAGTTAGGCGTAGGGGTGTTCGCGGTCTAGATTGGATCGATTTTGGAAAAAAAAATCATCTGATCCAATCCCTTCGGTTTGATCATATAATCATCTATTCGGTTTGTATTTTTTTTCAAATCCGATCTGATCCAATCCAATTTTTTTCGGTTTGGATTGGATCGGTTTTTGGTTTTTTGAAAATCCTAAAATTTATTTCATGATTTTTGTGCAAATAACATCTTTTGTATATATTGACTTTGTAATTCTTTTTTTTTTTTAAATACAAAAGCATTAGTAAACTATAATATAGTTTTTTTTTGGGCAATGAGATATGAAGCTCTATGAAGATAAAATTTTGTTAATGAGATGTTACTAGATTTTTTCTTGGGTTTAGTTGATGAGTTAATGGGTCTTGGGTTTATAAATTTTTGGGCTATGATTGGTGTAAGAACTCGCACCGTTAATTAAGGAATTTAATTAATAAATTATGAGAAAATAGGAAAAGATTCCATAATTGACCCTAATAATTATTATGAGGCTTTAATAATTATAGTAAGTGAGTAATAATGCTGAAAGTCGCTTTTCGGAAGAAAAGTGCAGATACCAGTTCTGCTAGTCGGTATAAATGCGTACCAAAAAATTATCCCAGAAAATTATAATAAGTGCATGATAATTACTAGAATGATATGTAAGACTTGTAAAACGAGTTTCAAGTCCAAATAATGAGAACTGGTGCTAGAAACCGGTACTGGCTTTGAAAAGCGCGTATCGGAAAGGTGCTCAGAAAATTATAAGAAAAATATGATAATTCTTGTAAAATTGAGTAGGTTAAGAATCCAGAGTTTTGGATTAAAATGCTAAGCGTAGCAATTAAAGTTAATATTGTGTGTTAATTGGGTAAGTGACTATAAATACCCTTATTAAGGGCACAAAACCCTAGGCATTCAGTTTCTCTACGTGAGTTGGGTGGCTGGTCTGTTCTTGCTACTGTTCCATTGAGCTTTCTTCACCATTTTGGAGATCAAGTGTCACTTTTGCTTGGTTTCTTCATCTCCAAACACTTGAGCCTTGTGTGAGTGGCCTTTGTGAGTGTGTAGAGAGCTTTGGTTCTGAGTTGAGGGACTGTTTGAAGTCAGTTTGTGGGCTGAGTGGCCTTGTGTGAGGGTGAGAGCTTCCTACTTGGTTGTTGGAGCTCCAAGGAGCAATCCTTGTGAAGAAAGGACCCTTCTTGGTGTGCATTTTCGTGCACAGTGTTGAGGCAGACTTGGGAGTTGTTGAGTGAACTCCATAGAGCATCTCCATCCTCTGTTTTGGCTTGTGGTATGTTCATCACCTTTGATCTTGAGTCTTTGAGCTTAAAAATGGAACCTTGATGCATGTAAAGGTTAAAAGATGATAACTTAATGTTGGGGTTGGTCAAACACACCTAGAAATACATGTTTAGATGTTTAAAATTGGTAAAAACCCAACCTTGTAAGGATATCTTCACGAAATGCAGTTTCTGTATTTTGTCGTGAAATATCTGGATATGTGCCCGAGAAGTATCCGGATTTGTGATATCCGGATATTGGATATTCGGATATGGGAATCTGGATATCCGGATATGTACAGTGAAATATCTGGATATTGCATATCCGGATATGCTCCCGAGGAATATCCGGATATGTACAGTGAAATATCCCGATATTGCATATCCGGATATGGTCCCGAGGAATATCCGGCTATTCTGGAATTTCTTAGAACAGTAGCTGTGTTGTGTGTACAGTAGGCTATTGGGGGTTTGTGGACCCTAGATTGATGAAGTTGAACTTCTGTAATTAATGAACTAAGTCAGAATCATAGTGTTAAGGGCTTATGGCTTGGTATGGAGCCTTAAGACGTAAAACGTAAGGAAAGGCGTTGTCTTTAAGTTATATGCTTGTGGTGCATTATTATTGATATAGTATTGGTCCATAACAGATTGTGAATCTGCTGTGTTTGGACTTTGAGCTGTGGACTCTTGGCTTTGGGGGTTAGCTTGCAAGGTAAGCTTTCGTGTCCTCGGTTTAGCCATGTTGTGGTTCCACCATGTCCCATGGGGGTGTGGTTGTATGCATGTTGTGTTACATGCTTTGAATATTTGAAATATTGTTGAGCTTTATGTGTAATGGCTTTTAATATGCATGTGTTGTTCCATCTTGACAGTAAGCCTGAGTATGTAGCGTCATACAAGACGGTGATCCGGGATGGATGCAAGTAGTGTCTTGCACTAGTGTGGGTATTTGGCGTATGTAAATCCTGCATTTCTCTGGCCAGTAGAATAGAATTGACACACATGACATGATTATCTGCTGCATTGCACTATTTTAGAACTGATGATGATAACTACTTTTGAACTTATATTGCACATGTAAGTGAGCTTGGGGTGGAAGATCCTCTAGGACCCCTTGTCTTACTGAGATTTCTTGTTTAGAGATCTCACCCCACGTTTGGGGAATGCTTATTTCAGGTTCCAGTAGTATGGTGACTGATGCCTCTGGCGACAGGAGGCCAGAGCTTAGTTGATGATATTATGTTGTATTGCTGCCATGACTGGATTTGGATGCTGTTTATGTTTTCCGCTATTTATGATTATGTTGTTGTTGAGACTGATGTTGGGCGTGTTGCCTTATTTGCGTGAGCATGGGGATTGTCCATGACACTTTATGTTAGTACTTTTAGTTTGGAGTTGTTTAAACTGTTAGATGGTCCGGTCTACGTTGTTGTAGTTCCGTGACTAGAGCCACACTTTTTTATCTATGTTATGAGGTATTTCAGTTAGCTATTTTATTGTAATTACATACAGGCGATGTTTTATTAATTGGTTAATAAGCAAGTTGGTAATGATAATGACATCATAATTGAAAAGAAAAAGATATTCCGCCTTTTTAATTAAGCGCTGCTTAATACGATAGTATGATAACATTACCGGATATATACGGAGTGTTACATTTACGGTATCAGAGCAATGGTTCGAGGGAAAAGCATGTATGTATTGCAATAGTTAGGATGTTTGGTTGTGTCTGTCTTGTGTGTTTACTCCGTCGAATTTTATTATGATAATGCATATGTAATCACACTGCGTGGGCCTGATCAACTCATAATTTGTGTAGCTTGTGCAGAGTCATGGTAAGGTTCGGGAGAACACGAGAGACTTCTGAGGATCAACCCGATCCTGTCCTGACTGCATTGGCTGAGATGCAGGCGGCTAGGTTAACTGATCGGGAGGCCACTAGATTGGCCAACGCGGCAATAATGGATGTTGTTCGCGAGGCGAACCGGATAGCCGCAGAAGAGGTTCGTGAAGCGAACCGGAGGACCACTGAGGATGTCCTCGAGGCGAACAGGATGGCGAACATGACGATGATGAGAGTCATGTTGGAGGAGATGAGGGCTGGTCCTGCTGTAGGCCAGGCACCACCGCCTCCGCCGCCACCGCCGCCGCCTCCACCTAGTGTTCAGGATGAGATCCTGAGTCACATTGGCAGTGCTGCTCATGTCGCTGAGACGAGGGAGACTCTTGTAGAGCCTGCTGAGGATCGTGATTTGATAGATCGTCGGCTGAATGCTTTCAGGAAGCATAAGCCACCTGTGTTTGAGGGGTCTTTGGATCCTATTGCTGCTGCTAGATGGCTGGAGTCACTGGACAAGATATTTCGGGTCATGCAGTGTACAGATCCGCAGAAGCTGATGTTCTCGACTTACATGCTGGAGGGCGATGCCTATGAGTGGTGGACGAACACCTCTCGTGCTTATGAGATGCAGGGTCGTGTTTTGACATGGTTATTCTTCGAGGAGTGTTTCTTGGGCAGATACTTTCCCTATGATGCGCAGGAGAGGAAGCAGGGGGAGTTTGATAGATTGGTTCGGGGTTCGATGTTTGTTGACGAGTACTTGGCCAAGTTTAATGAGCTGGTGAAGTTTGCACACTTCAGGATGGTTCCTCCTACTCCGATGTTTCTGGCTACTAAGTTCCGTAGGGGACTTAGTGAGGTGATTGCTGAGCATATTGCTGGAGCTGCTTTGAGGGATTTTGGTACACTGGTTCAGCAGTGTAAGGACATTGAGGATGTCTGCATTGCGAGTAAGGCC